TTTGTTCTATTGATTTGTCTGTCCATAGGCCCGTACTACATTAATTATTGAGACTTAGAAATATCTGATAAAGCTAGTACTTCTGGGGCTGGCAGGTGGTGTGGTGGTTAAGGGCACTAGACTCCAACATGGCTGATTGCAATTTGAGTCCTGGACCTGGAGGCTTGTTTTCTTACTTTCTCTCTTTCTCTCACACTCACTCACTCTGTACCTCTTTGGTAAAATTAAACTAACTAAATAAATAAAGTTAAATAATTATTATTTATTATTTATATGTTCAATTGCTATACATCATTTAGGTTGTAAAGAGATTTTACCCAACGTGGTAAACACCACACACCAGGCGAGTTGAGCATACTAAACATGACATGATCAAAAGACAACAAACCATATCTGTGTCTCACAAATATCTTACTTCAAATTTCCCTTCCTGCACTCTTCCCCTCTCCCACTCTCCTTCCACTTTGTCCCCAGTGTCCATAACAATTTTTAATACTTTTACATCCTCCAGTCTTTCAGTCTCTACCATAGAGTGTAGGTGTAGACAGTTGGTATATGTTAAGTGGAGAATTACAATGTCTCTTTTTCATAGCCTGACTTGCTTCAGTCATCAATAAATCTTCCATATTTGTCCACTTTCTATCAAATGCCAGGGTATTGTTGTTTTTAATGGCTGGATAGTATTCCATGTAGTATGTGTGCTACACATTTGGGTTGGTTCTATGCCTTAGCAATCATGAATAATGCTGCAATAAATATAGTTGTGCAAACACTTTTCCAACTGAGTGTTCTCCTGTCCTTTGGGTAGATACCCAGGAGTGGGATTGCTGGATCACATGATAGTTCTATTTAAAGATCTTTGAGGAACCTCCATATTGTTTTCTGCAGTGGCTGGACCAATTTACATTCCCACCAACAATGTAGATTTCCCCTTTTACCACATTCCTACCTTCACTTATCATTTTTGTTTTTTAAATATTTGCCATTCTGGATGGGGTTAGGTTGTAGTTTTGATCTGTATATCCTTTATGATGAGGAATGTTGAGCATTTTTTTTTTCTGTTTGTATGTTTTCCTTAGGAAGTTGTTTATTCAGCTCATTTTGCCATCTTTTAATTGGTTTAATCATTTTTTTTCTGGATAGACGCTGAGATCTCTGCCTATTCTGGTTATCACTCCTTTAACTGAGAAATAGTTTACAAAAATTTTCTCCCATTCTGAGGGTTGTCGATTCATACTAATTACTGTGTCCTTTGCTGTGCAGAAACTTCTTAATCTGATGTAATCCCACTTGTCTATTTGGGGATTATTGTCTGTGCTTTGGGAGTCTTGCATAAGAAGTCTTTGCCTACACCAGTGTCTCCCAGAGTTTCCCCAGTGTTTTCCATGAGTAGGTTTATCATCCGTGGTCTTAAGTTTAGATCAAAGATCTAATTTAAGTTGATTTTTGGATCAAAGATCCACTTTGAGTTGATTTTTGTTAATGGTGACAGATAGGGGTTCAGATTCATCTTTCTGCAGGTGGATAGTCAGTTTTTCTAGCACCATTTGCTAAAGAGGTTTTCTTTTTCCCACTGGATTGACTGGTACCCTTTGTCAAAGATAAGTTGGTTTTATGTTCTGGGGTTTATTTCTGGTGTCTCTACTCTGTTCCATTGGTCCTCATGTATGTTTTTGTGCCAATACCATGCTGATTTGTTTTTTTTTTTTTTTTTTGAAAGGATAGGGCATGTGCACTTGCCAGAAAGACAGAGACAAAGAGACAGGAAGTGAGAAATCACCCCCCTCCCCCCAGAGGGGATGGCCACTCTACAATCCCTTCTCCTCCATTCTCCTCTCGGGATCTTGGGCACGCATGCATATGCGCTTGGCGTGAGTTTAAGCCGCTGGGTCCGGGACTCAAACCGCGGTTGACTACATGGGAGTCCAGTGACATAGCCATTACGCTAACTGGTGGTCCGAATACCATGCTGTTTTGACTGTCACAACTCTGTAAGATATTTGGGGGTCAGAAAGTGAGATGCCATCCACTCCACTCTTTTATACGGGATCTTTTATGGTTCCAGACAAATTCTATGATTGTCAAGTCTCCTGTAATTTTAGAGAGAGTGCATTAAATATGTAGATTAATTTGGGTAGGATTGCCATTTTGATTAATTCTTCCAATCCAGAAACATGTGATGTCTCCTTCCACATTTTTGTGTAATTTTTGATTTCCTTTTTAAGATCATCATAGTTTTCCTTATAGACGTCTTTGAATTGGTTAGTTTTATTCTTAGGTATCTTATACTTTATGTGGCTATGGTAAATGGGATTGCTTTCTTCCATTCTGTCTCTGCTTATTGTGTGTATAAAGAAGTGCTATAGATTTTTGTAAGTTAATTTTGTATCCTGCCACTTTACTGTATCCATTAATTACTTTGAGAAATTTTTTCATGGATAGCTTTGGGTCTTCTATGTATACAGTCATGTCATCTGTAAACAGACATCATTTCAACTCTTCTTTTCCTATTGGGATGCCTTTTATTTCATTCTCATGTCTGATTGCAAAGCTAGTACTTCTTCATTGATGTTCTTTTTCAGTTTTTCTGGATATTCTTATTTACTTTTTCATAATAAATTCATAATTAGCTTATATGGTTCTAAATAAAACCCTGTTGGTATTTTCATTAAGATCACATTAAATTCATAGAATTTGATGATTTAATGGTGTTTGGGAGGAATTGGTTGCGATTTTAGATGGGGTGCCCAGGGGTGGCCTCAATGAGAATGTAATAGGGTAAAGATCAGAGGAAGTAGAGGAATGAACCATTAGAATTTTGGGGTTTATACATTTCATACAGAGAGAACAGGAAAATGAAAGTCCTGAGATGTGAGAATGCCTGTGTTCAGGGAACACAGAAGAGATCAAAGCATAGTGAGGGGAAGTAAGAGAAACTGTGGCCTCTAGGTCTTTAGTTTTTTGGTGGGAAGTAATTGAAGAGTTTTGAACAGAGAATTGACATTTGATTTATGTTTTTAACAGAAACACTCTAGCTTTTATGTTTATAGTAGACTGAAGGTTGGCGGACAGGGAAAAATGAATGAGGATATTAATCTGGGTAAGAGAAGATGGTGGCTTAGATAAGAGTAATAGTTGAGAGGTGGTAGAAGTGCTTGGAATATAAATAAGCTTTGTATGTAGAACTAACATTTACTGATGGATCTGGATGAGTTATGAGTAGGAGGAATAATAAATGTCTAAGATTCTTGACCTGAGCATTTTGAAGAATGGGTGGCCATTCTTCACCCAGATGGTGGAAATTGTAAAATGTAGAGAAAGTGATACTATTGGCCTAGTTATAAATTTGCTTCAGATGTCTACTGACATTCAGGAGGTGATACTGAAATAATTGAATAAGAATCTGGAAAGGTATGAATTTTGAGACTTATCAGTATATATATGGTGTTTAAAATTAGGAGTTTAGAATCATGATTAGTGAATATAAATAAAAGTCTTGGATACCCTAAAAATGAGAGATAAGGGAGATAAAGTGAAATCAATAAAAGAGACTAGTGAGTGGCTAGAAAGTTAGGTGGAAAGCCGAGAGTGTTCTAAAAGCTAAGTAAGGAAAATAGAGTATTTCAAAGAGTAGTGTCGAATGCTACCAATAGGTCAAGTATTTAAGTTTATTCCTTGCTAACTTATCTCTTTAGTTGCTGTGTTAAATGAGCTCTTTCTCTTTATCTTCTGTTGGTTCTATGCATGAAACTATGAATTTCTATATATTAATTTTGAATCAATTGTAACTTCTTAGTAATTTTTCATCAGTTATCTTGGACTTTTGAGGCATGTAATCATTTACATCTATAAATTTATTTTATCCTTTCTTTTTTAATCTCAACTTTCCCCCCCTTTTGTCTGATTGTACTAGTTAGTACCTCTATAGTGTTTAAGAAATTGGGTAATAGTGGATATCCTTGTCTATGTCCTGACTTTCATGGGAATGCATTTAAATTTTCCCTATTAAGCTTGTGACTGGCTTTTGGATTGAGATATGAGTGTGTGTGTGTGTTTGTAGGACATAGTCTTTGATTTTATTTTGAGTTAGAAATATAAAATGTATGAGTTTTATCAAATGCTTTTTCAACATCATTAGAGATGATTGTATGATTTGTCTTCTTGGGCCCAGTGATATGATTTTTTATATTAATAAATAAAAAACTATTTTTTGCATTGCTTGAAAAAAATACCACTTAAGAAAGCTATCTGAATAAGTTGTTGCTGTTATTGTTCTCCTAATTCTGTTCATATTTTGTCACCTGTACTGAATTTTGAATTTGTTACTGTTATATTCCTGTGTGCTTTTTAAGATATATGCCAGTGAAAATGTGGTATAGTCAAATTCAGAAAAAAAATTTTTTATACAGGACTCTCTATTGTTCTTGAACAATCTAGGAACATCCCTTCTTAGGACTTTTCACTTTTGTTCCCTTTGCCCAGAATGCTCTTGAGTCAATTTATGCTTGGTTTTATCCTAACTTCAAGTCATTTAGTCAAAATTCAAGCCCACCCTAACTATCCTATTTAAAATTGCAATCCCATATTTATATTTGTGATCTTTCTTTTACTACTCTTTTTAAAAAATAGCACTTATCTCTTTTTAATAGTTTATATAATTTGCTTATTTATTAGGTCTCTGTCTCCCCATTAAAATGTAAATTTATTAAAGACAGGATTTTTTTCCTTTTTTTTTTTGTCTCTCTCTCTCTCCCTCTCCCTCCCTCCCTCCCTCCTTCCCTCCTCCCGGCACACACAGATATATGCCTACTGCCTAAAATAGTATCTGACTCATAGGACCGCAGATATTTGTTGTGATATTAATGAATAAACTATCTTTAGAAAGCCTTACTTTTAAGTAACTCACATTTAGGGTCAGAATAATCTCATTTGCTGTAGCAAAGTGATGTAAATGATCCTGTAACTTGTGAAATTAATTTAGACTATTTTTCTTCCTCCAGGTTCATCGAAGCAAGAACAAATGGAAATTCTATTTGAAAGATGGTGTTATGTGTTTTGGAGGGAGAGACTATGTATTTGCAAAAGCCATTGGTGATGCAGAGTGGTAAACTTTATGAGCTCAGTACATCAGTTTTGTAAACATCAATGGGACTATATTGCATGTTGTTAAATTACTGCTAAAAAAAAATATATATATATATATAGTCCAGCACAGAACTGTTCAAATTTTCAGCTCACTATATGGAATTTAATAAAATTAGAATTCAGATGCAGATACAAATATTCACTTTTTATATTTATTTTGTTTTCTGATTTAACAGATTAGATTTTTTTAACCCTCATTAACTATACCATTGTAAAGCTTATAGCAAGGGGTATTATAAAGCATAAAGAAATGTTATATTTCTTTATTCTTAAAGTTTAAATTAGATTCCAATTCTCCTTCATGGTTAAGTCAGTATTTGTTATTAGATTGGGGGTGGCAGTCTTCCACCTCTCACCAAACCATGTTATAAAATGTCTTGAGAAATTTTTCCTGTGTAGGATATTTAAGAAGGCTCTCCTGGGTCTTTATTCCACATTTGTCACCAGCGATATGGTGATAGTGTGCGCCCTGATATTCCCTTGGAGGCAGATACCTAAATTATTATTTATACATTAAAATCTTTGCTGAGGCCAGGATCTCTGAAACTAAGGATCAGCCTCTATAGACTTATCATGTAGTCAAGTTATTCTCCATATTCTTTAGGATATATGCTGGAGCAGGTTAGATTCCTGCTCAATTACTTGAAACTTCAGACTTCTGTCTTTTTTTAGTCATGATGCTTATTCCTTTTCTCTCTCTACATTAAAAAAAATTTTTTTTTCTGACAGTGGAAGACCCCTTTGCAAACTTTTTTGCCTTCAAGGGTAGTATCTCTCTTTTCCCTAACAACCCTCCTCATTGAGCTTAGGATTTCTAAAACAAAAAGTCAGGAAGAGATGTTCTCTTCAGAAACCATCTGTTTTGGCCAGGCAGTCTTATTTGAGATAAGGAGGCCTAGATAACTCCTGAAATCAGGAAGAGAAAATAAAATGTAAAATATAAATAGCTCTTATTTTCCTGCAGCAAAAAAAAAAAAAAGTGAATTAATGTCTCAATAACTTATTCCTTGATATCTCCTATTTAGTAGATTCTATCAAAGGAACATTTTCTCTATCACTTAAAAAATAATGATTAATTTAATTTTATTTGTTATTATTATTTATTTTTTAATTTGACCAGAGAGAGAGAAAGGGAAAGTGAGAAATCAAGTCACTAGGTCAAGGACTTGAGCCACAGTTGGCAATGTGGGAGTCTAGTGCCTTAGCTACCATGCCACCTACTGGCCCCCCTCTTTCTCTTTACTTCTTTTACCATGCTGGGGGTGAACTTGGTCTCTAAGTCCAGGAGCCCTAGTGTCAGCCCTGAATGATATTCTTCAGGATGGTAAGTCTTGCACCAAAAGCAGTGCAGGGATGAGTAGGTTATGGTCTGTGAACACTCCCTAAGGATTAGATATCTGGATCTAACTGGGCACAGGTCAAATTTCCCATTTGTTTTTGGAAAATGGCCCCATTTGTAGAGTTTAATTTATTCCAACACTTATTCTATCCTACTAAAAGTGCTCAGCTGTTGGTATATATCTTCAGTATCTGATTTAGTACTTCCTGAGCATTGGATAACATGATGGGGTATGGTCTTTGGCCTAAAGGTGGTAGCTGCATGAGGATTTAGTTGGTATTAATGAGTTGGCTGGTCCCCTAACCAGATTCTCCAGGAATGACCTTTTCATTCTCGCTGTGATTATTATTACTATTTTTTTTTATTACCACTACTCCTATTCCAGATCTTTCTCTGCTCTTGAACACTCCCAGGAGCTGTGGGTCCTTTTTGAGGGTGTTGCCTACTATGAAATGTCCTTCTTCTCTAGATGGAAAATAAAAAGGGGGCATTTATTCTTTGTGTCTGTCTCCGAAATATACTCCCTCCAGGACTGAGGAGTAAACTTACTAGTTTTCATTCTATTTTCTTCCTCCCAGGCTCACCTAGTCACTTTGTATTGGTCCTAGGTCACCCTTACTGTAAATTAAGGGATGAAGTATTGACAAGGCAGCCTCACCAGGGAATTGGAGTTTCATGTGTTGGTTCAAGTGCATGGGGGAAGGCAATAATATCGATGGTTATTCCTAAAAGTTCTTTCCTCATTTTCACTGTGAACTTTAAAATTTTACTTTGCTTTGGTAAGTTTTTAATGGCATATTATTATTATTATTATGTGGGTCTTTTTATTTATGTAGTATGTTTTATCATTAGACAAAAAAGTCATGGTTGACTCAGTTATATCTCAGCATACCTTCATGTCCCTCATCTTTTAAACATGTAAAACATCAGCTTAAAATAGGCTTACCATAAATTAAAAATAAAGTAGTAATTATCCTGTCTGCTAATATGACTAATGGTAGTTTTGGTGCTGACTACAGAGGAAACTAAGAGGTCACAAATTATTTTGGATCTGATGCCCTCCCTTTTATTAGTTTCAGATAATGCTAGAGGTAAAAAATCTTGGTTCTTGAGAAATTACCTGAACTTTTGATTTTCAAAATTTTTTGGCCAGGTTCCATACTAAATATGCTTTAATAACCCAGTATATGTTTGTATGCATGTTGACATACACAACAAAAATGAAATGAAAATATTAGAAAATCAGGCTTGCCTTTAGCATGTAATAGCCTTCTACATTATTTATTCACATCTGTTTCATTAAAAAAAAAGATCTATACTAATTTCACTACCTGTAGCTTAAAAAAAACCCACATTTTTAAAAAGAGTTTTTCCCTAAGGTGTGTGCATTCACTGGGGAGAGACAGACAGAGAGAGGGAAAGTGAGAAATCACCCTCTGGCAGGATGGCCACATCACAGTCCTTTCTCCTCCTGGGATTCTGGGTATGCATGCACATGTGCTTGGTGTGAGCTTCAAGTTGCTGGGTCCAGTCGAACATGGGGAGATCTGGCCCTTTAACCACCATACCTACCACCTGTTGGCCCTAAAACATTTTTATCATGTGTGGAAAATATTGAAGCAAATATTGATGTACTTTAAAAAGGAATTCTTCCTTAAGCCCTGTAAGTCAAGGAGTTTACCTAAGACTTAGCTTTGCTCTTGTATTACTTTTCATCCTGTCCAACATAAACATTTCCTGTTGCATTTTTTTAAAAAAGAATTACTTATTTAATTTATCATTATTATTATTTTTTAGTTTACTACAGGGCGCATATGCTCATGAGAGAGAGAGAGAAAGCAGGCTGCCAGGTCTGGGACTTGAACTGTGGTTGGTCATGAGGGAGTTCATTGCCTTAACTACCATGCCACCTGCTGGCCCCTCCTGTTGCATTATTTAAAAAATAATTATTTTATTTAACTTGATTTATTGTTATTATTTTAATACTTGCAGACACACACACACACACACACACACACACACACACACAGAGAGAGAGAGAGAGAGAGAGAGAGAGAGAGAGAGAAAAAGCAAGCTTCCAGGTCCAGGACTCAAACCACAGTCGGCCACATGGGAGTTCAGCACCCTTAACCACCCCACCACCTGCCGGCCCTACCCCTGTTGCATTTTATAACAAATTACCATAAAGTAAGTTTCTAAGTTCTTTTAAAGACAATGCTTTGGCAAATGTCATTGTTTACCCTCTTCTGTAGGGAGAAAGTGTCTTGTAGAGGTTACAGTTCGCTGCTTTTTTTTTTTTTTTTTTTGGAGAGTTTTTTCGCTAAAGGGCGTATGCGCTCGCCAGCCAGACAGAGACATAGAGACAGAAAGCGAGAAATCACCCCCCAGGGGGGATGGTCACACTACAATCCCTTCTCCTCCAATCTCCTCTTGGGATCTTGGGCATGCACGCACACACGCCCAGTGTGAGTTTTAAGCCACTGGGTCCGGGATGCGAACCTCGGTTGACTACGTGGGAGTCCAGCGACATAGCCATTACTCTCACTGCTGGTTCCCTACAGTTTGCTGCTTTAAAGGAAATCTGTTCAAGTGTCAGGTATCCTAATTCCTATTCCAGTGCACTTTGAGAACATCTCAAAAATTTTTCTCATATGCACATCCTACAGTGCTTTCTCAAGTACTTTCTAGATCTCCTTGTAGGCCAAAAGGATTTTGCTGAGTTTGAATACAGTCTTTAAGGGATTGACTGAGTGACCTTGCCTTATATACTTCCTTTACCTATTAATTGTGCAGAACACCTCAGTAAGTGCTATAATACATGTAAATTATCATCTGTCCAGCTCAGACTTCATAGAGCAGAGAAACTCTAACTGATATATTTAGTTTTAGTCATTTCAGTTGTGTAGAAAAACTAACTTTTTAGTGAATAACAATAGTTAATTGGGTGGTGGGCAGGTTAAGTGGAAGATTTTTTTCTAACTCAGTAGGCTAATACTGTGCTGATTTTCATGTAAATAAATTCTAAGACAGGTATGGATTTTGTGATTTATAATTAGAAAACTAAATTGTTAGTAGGAAGCCCATTAGTTTTCCTAATAACTCTTAGGGAAATAAAATATATTAATGAAAATCATATAATTAGAAGAAATGATTATTTCTAATTATGAGCACATTTACTGAAATCTTTGGGGCAGAGATTTTTAGTTTACATGTGGATTTTTGAGGAAACTAAAACCAGGCCTTTTACACCTAATGTATTATTTGGAGGACAATGCTTTTTAAATTATTTTGTAAGTTTGGGTGAGTTATTCCAGCTCAATTCACATTTTTAGCCATTTTTGCAACCTACCAGTGATAATGTCGAACATAGTAAAAAATACAAAAAAACAAGGTTGGACATGATTTTTTTATATATATATTTTTTTTTTTTTTTTTTGGAGGTTTTT